CCCCTGGGAACAAGGCTGGAGGAGGTCCCTCTTTCCCACCCGCTCTTGTGCATTTGTCTAATCACATTACAGTACGGGGGGACCCCGCTTTTCCCTGCACCTTCCCACTGCGCCGGAGTGTGAGGCGGCGTGGCTTTAGTTTGTTCTTTCGGCAGCCGCACCGTGCTGGAGGAGAATGTTAAAAGCCGAGGGAGGTGAAGGGGTGCAAGAAAACCCACTGAAGACACACGGGAGCGAATTTCTGTGCCCAAGGGGTTGCTTTCTGTCTCAGCCGGCCCCTCGCCTGCCCCACCCTTGCTGCATTGCTCAGTCCCTTGCTGGAAATGCCCAGAGTTGGCGCAACTAGGGGAAGGGGGCTGCCGGTGGACGGGGCCTGTGGCTTTCCAGGTCACCTTTGGTGCCTTTTATAAGGGTGCAGTTAAGCCATTTCCTGACTGCCTCCCCTGCCCCAGCATGCTGATGAAATGATCCCACGCTGGCTTCTTCAGTATTACTTTAAAATCGGCGGGGCATTGCCAGGGGCGTCTGCTTACCTGGAAACACGCCACCCAAAGCACGTGCTTGATTTGCTGGTGCCTAGAACTGGCCCTGCTGACTGGCCTAGGGTTTTCCTCTCCATCCCTCAGGCAGCGTATTCACTTCAAATGGGGCTTTATTGACACTGCAGTGGGTACAGTCAACGATAACATCGGGAAGATACAAAACATGCCCTTGCTCTTGTCATCGCAAGTGCTGCTGCTGCAGCAGGAGAGCACTAGAGCAAATGACAACGTGGCCGTTTGGACCAGCCTTTAGAAATCAAGGGGTTTCGTGCCTCCCTGCTGGTGTGCGAGTAAGTAGAGACTCCTAACACCCTCAGACCTTCACCCCTTTCTCCTCCCCACAGCCAGACTCGTGACGTAGCTTTAAAAAACCCCTCAGACACCAGCCTTCATATCGAGGCAGAGTGAATAAATTAGCCTTAACATACATTTTAGTGAATGTAGAATGTGGGTAAGATTTAATTTAAGATTGTAGAGGGAGCTTTTTTTGAAAAAAGCTCCCTCTACATCATCTGGGCAGTGAGCACTCACTGATAGTTGTGCATGGCCCTGGGTTATTCAGTAAGGACTCTACCACAGTTAGGATTTGGAGTGCTTTCAAACTTGGGAGATCAGAATTCTTCCTACTCCTGGTGGGGAACCGCCTTTCAGTAGGGAACCACCTCTAAGTGTGAGGGTGTAGAGCTTCCAGCTTCGAAGAGCAGAATGGAGTTTGTCCAACACTAAGATTATCACTCGACTAGTTTGTGCATAACTTGTTTGAAGAAGCTACATCAAAAGATTGTTAGCTGGTGTAAATCACTGTAGCTCCACTATGGTCACCAAAGCTATTGTGGTTTACACCAGCTAAAAATGTGGCCCTTTCTTTAAAAAGAAGGGAGGGAAGAAACTACTAAACACATATTAGAAGTATTCAATTAGCCTTTGGCTTGCAGGTAACATATTACCAAGGAAAGAAGGATGTGGAATTTTCCTGGATGTGCATATTTAAGTAAAGAATCAACTGCTATCTTTTCGTCACTGCATACGTTGACCTAGCTATATCATTCAGGGGTGTGAATTTTTCAGCATCCTGAGAGACATAGTTAAGTTGGTCAACTTAAGCTCTCGCGTAGACAGCCTTAGATCAACAGGCAACGTCTTCCATTGACCTAGTTCCTGGCCCTCGGAGGAGTGGATTTAGCACAGTATCCAGAGCCAATTGGTGGGGGAGGCAAAAAAGGGCAGATGCCCTCCTCCAGAAGGTCAAGCACCCCTCCAGTAGTTAGCCCAACTGAGGATAGGAAGGGGTGCAGCCAAAGCTTTTCAGTGCAACAGCTCTGGTGCTTGGGAGAACACATGGCTGCTGCAACAGCAGGCTCCTCCCCCCCCCCAAACCTCGG